GGTCGTTTTAGCGAGCTGGTAGTTCCGGTTTTCGTAACGACGTAACAATTTATTATGTAGCTTCCCGAGCGACACTTGGCTAATTTTATAATAATCATCGTGTAGTAAAGCAATAGAGGTTGTAAAGGGACAATTTGGAATTATGAAGCCATCCATCATCGTCGGTGCGAGCAAACAGCCTCGTGCTCATAACTCGAAACTTCTCAATAGCGAATTATGAAAATTACCCACGAAATTACCAATGAACGAGACGATATCCCGAGAGTGGGACGGAGAGTAGGAGTGAAGAGAGCGAAGCGGACAAAGCGAGAGGACGGATCGAACAACGCCATTTGTGCATCGACCGCTACGGAGGAGTTCCCTTCGATGGAACCGTCCCCCCGCCCCGTCCTCTCTTCGCGCCACTCGAACACATAGGCGCGCGCCACCTCTTTCCGCACCGTCCGACCTGTCTTACACTTAAAATGGAGATTTTCACAATGGTGCATTTAATGTTTGAAGCTGCTCGGTGACATCGTCGCCCGTAGAGTGGCGGCGGCATATCTATTCTCAATCTATTGTCGCTCGTTGTTCATTCGAGAAAGTAGTGTAAACAGTCGCTAAACCATCCAACTTCCGCGACCAATAATAAACAAATGAGACAAAAAATGAAGAAAGAAAAATTAACGTTAAACAAAAATCAGCGATCAACGTTCCATTTTTCTTCATGTACGTACCCATATAATAAACGGGGTAATAAGATGATGAAATAAGCGTTTGTCGCTCGAGTCGCGCAGAAGAATCCCTATTACCAGCGCGGAAAATCAAATCTACGGCTCGTCGGACACAAAGTTTGTTCACCCAACAAGTCTGAGCGAACGATGATTTCATCTCCAATCACGCACCAGGTTCAACGATCGCCGCGGGCTTTGCGCGCACGCATCCGACAAACGACGCGCAGATCCGACAAGGACGCGATCGGCATCTCGTCGAAAATCCCCGCGGCGATCGACGCCGAGTGTCCGTTGCTGCTGTTCGGGGGAAAATGGAACGGGGAGCCGAGCGGCTGGGGCATGACGGGGAGGGGGGGGGTTGTTGGGGGGGGGGGGGGGGGGGGGGGCGGGGGGT